TATGGACCAGTGTAGGGCTCTTGTGAACACGGTAATGAAACTTCGGTTTCCATAAAATGCTGGGAAATTCTTCAGTAGCTGCAGAATTGGTGGCTCCTCCAGAAGGGCTCAGCTCCATCAGTGAGTAAGTAAGTAAGTAAGTAAGTAAGTGTGGTCATAAACTCCCCGAGATCTCAGTAAACACTGAGGGAATAAATTATCATCTAAATATCTGTGTATGCAGGTTTTATCCTATTTACAGTTTATTTAGTGACGCTTTATTAGCTCAGATTATGCAGTGTCGAATATTATGATGATTAATGAATGGTTAACTTGAAAGGACGTAGATAGAAGCAGCTGTGGCCTATTTCATGATAATGTCCAAGTATTCGCCTGTCGGGCTGAAGAAAATCACGAAGAATATCAATCGGGGTAGTCGGTGTCAAGGCCGAGATTTGAACTGGTTATCTCCCGAACTCAAGTCACAAGAACAGACGGTTTAATTGTTTTCGTATCTGTGCACAAACCTTAAAGTTCTAGATCGCGGATGTGAATCTACAATCAGAACAAAACTCCCTGTTTTATTACGACAAACTTCGCACTAAATAGGAGCTTATATAATGCAGACAAATTAAAAATCTCGTTTCCTGTTGACAGGGATAGTAGCACGAATAAAATGTTGCTCATGTAAGACTAACAGATTCTGATGACAGACATTTTCTTCATACAAGATTACTTTGCTACACCTTGTTCTAGGAATAGGCAAAAGATGAAAAAGATATACTACAAGACAAATAAGAACTATCATATTTCTTGTCCTAGTCCGTAGAAGCTAATGGCCGTCTCTGAAATGCTAATGATCGATTATTCTGTTTTGCTGACTGTGTACAATCCCAAAGCCAACTGCCTGAAAGCACACGTCCCCTGTTTGCTGAGCAGAAGCCAGCGCAACGTAAATGTAGGAACAGGATATCAGAACATTAACACAGGATTCTAAAAGGGCAGAGAACAAATATTTAGAGACGGAATTACCGGGTTCTTGGACTTTTTCTATCGCCCGGTATTCTAGAGAATAGAAAACACGACGTTTCAGAAACTGGATCTTTTTCCGTCCTCAGGTGAAGGGGGGAGAAGACACCTCAGTTGGGCTCGTTAGAAAGAGTCCAGTGATTGATATTATCGTTCTAAGGGGCCCAGCTGAGGTGTCTTCTCCACCCAACTTACCTGAGAATGGAAACAGATCCAGTTTTTGAAACGTCGTGTTTTATATTCTCCAAAATATCGGACGATGGATAAAAGTAAAAAACAAAAAAACAGCAATTCTCTGTGTTATACACCATCGTCAGAAACTTTTAAAACCTTTAGAGCTTCTCTTATGTACTTATCACGTACAGCTATATCTGACAAACGATTAATCTTCCGAATATGATGTTTCTTTATCGTATAAAATAATATTGCGCCTACGTAACATTGTTCCTGAAAAGTAGAGAATATCTTTGGTTCTAGTTTCCTTTTATGGACATTACTGATGTGCAGCCTTTGGATTCTCTGAAGACTAGGGTTCATAGAAACAGGAACTAGACAAATGTCTCATGCAGCCAGAAGTTTATAGTTTATCTCCTGAACATATTTTGTAATTTTATTTTCTAAAAATAATGAATTCTCTGTAGTGAACCCCGCGTGGGGTGACGGTACCCTCTCGCTAGTTATACTGCTGCCAACTGTGCTCATCGTAGCGTCAGCTGGGTTCTGCATGTATGCGTACTGTCGCCATGGCAAACTACTTCGTCACGAAAGGAGATTTCAGTATATCGAGGTAAGTAAATGTCATTAGGGCTGAGAATATTGTACACAAAATATAAATTCAAGTGTTCGTAGGGAGATTCCGAATTTTCAATTCGAATTTTAACAGCTCATTTCCATACAAGTATCCTTTTTTTATTTTTCATTATACACAAGGTTTCAAAACGATTTTGGATGATTAATCTGTGAATAAAATAAAATTGTTCAATTACTCTTATATATACACATAATAAGTGCTACCAAAAGTAACTCTGGGGTTCTCCTTAAGTCTATAAACTGAATTCTAGACATAGTAGGTAAAGGCAGCGCCATAGCTTAAGCGGTTAGTCGCTGGTTTCCCGCCTCGGCGGCCCGGGTTCGATCCCGGGGTCTGCTCAAGTGGGATTTGTGGTGGACAAAGTGGCGGTGGGGCGGGTTTTCTCCGAGTGCTTCTGTTTCCCTTGTCAATCTTCATTCCACCAAATTCTCTATCATCATAATCGCCCGGGACAGGTACAATAGGCCAATCAGTGGTCGCCGTGCCGAGTGAACTCAGTTGGACTCCACCCCTCAATAAGCGAATTAAAAAAATTAGTTGGTAAATATTTTGTTGTACAGAACACAGCAAACGCAGGTAATTCTGAACATCGAGAATTAACGCAATGATCCTAAGGTCAATATGCTGTTAATAACCTAAGGAACTGTTCAAAATCACGTCTTTTCAGAGAAAATTTCAGAGAAGCATACAGGGCGGAGGAAATTGTTTATGTGAAATTCCTAAATGATTGGTGATTGGTGTCAGAGACTTATCAAAATATTGGACTATGTAAGAACAGGCTAATAATAAGACACAAATGGAGAGACCCACATATTCTTAACTTTAACACTGATGCAGGGGAGATGTCGATATCGTGCCCGAATCTCACTGACCCCCGGAAAATTGGGTTAATGGATAGAACGCTCTATAGACCCAGATCTCGTCTGTAGCGCTGAAGTGAGATTGTCTTGTTACTTAGACGGCAAACGGTCCCATTATGTACGAGACCCGGGTTACAGACAAGGGAATGAATGGAATGGAAATTGAAGGATGAAACTTAAGCAGTCGGAGAAATATCTGACCCAGTGCCACTATGTCCAGCATAAATTCCGCATAGATTGCCTGGGATTGAATTCAGGGCACCGCTGTGAGAAGCTGGCGACTAACCGTCTGTGCTATAGCACAGTTCTCTGCAGTCGATATAGTATGGAAGATAACTAGCGGATCTCCGTTGCAGGAAATCAAATTGCAGACGTCCATTTCATGTCACTTTCAGGTATCACGGGTCTTTACAATATAAAGCAGAAGATAAATTAACTGAAGTCAGTACTGAAGAGGACCGTCTCTGTGGTCTATTGGACAGAGTTCGAGTCCCGGCGCTATCAGATTTTTTTAGAAGTAGTGGGTCTGAAACGGGGTCCACTCAGCCTCGTGTTGATGATTGAGGAGCTATTTCAAGGAAATAGCAGCTCCGGTCTATAAAACCGAAATTAACGGCCGTGGGGATTCGTTGCACTGACCACGTGACCCCCTCTATCCGCTAAAGGTGGCACAAACTTTGCCGACAAGCGACGGTCGCTCGGTCGGTATAGTTCGCTTGCGGATTACAGGGCACGGAGTTTGATTGGTACTGAAGAGAATTAAGAACTATTGCATTGTCAGTCACTTTTCCAGTGCTTGATGTTACAGAAATATTTCGCTGTTATTTCTTACTTCGATCGGTTGGTATGTTCACTCCTTCATTACCAGACGCTGGACCAGAAAGCATCCGTACGAAGAGCGTGCTCCGAGTCTGAGGAATATGACCTGGATTTCGATGCGAAGTGGGAGATCCCTGGAGAGAACCTTGTCCTTGGGAACGTTCTAGGACAAGGAGCCTTCGGCGTTGTTCGCAAAGGGGTGCTTCAAGAAGGCGACGTCTGGCGAGACGTGGCAGTCAAGATGTTAAGAGGTGCTTATAGACGCCTATAAAATCCATTAGAATTGTGTGCATCCGAGATTACGTTCAACTCAGATGGTTTTAAGTTACGTCAACAAATAAAATCCATGTAACTTTATAACAGGCCTAATCGGAAATTACTCTTGAATCTACTAAAGAGATAAGTTTGCTGTATTTCATTTAGTGTATGGGGTAACGTGTCAATATAGAATTTTATATTAGCATTTAATATAAGTGTAATTTTGCTCTGCAGAGTATGAAGAGAAGAAACATTGTTCCTAGGTATTTTTTGCTGGAAATTAAGGAAATACGTGTAAATTTCCGAAGTCGTGTCTCTCTGCCTATCGTCCGTTATGTTTCATCTTCGTAACTGTTCAACGGATTTCAATGAAACGTGGTGGCTANCGTCATACTCAAACACGCGAATTGCGCCAATCCTCTTTTATGTGACCATTCTTCCTACATATATTTGTGTATCGTGTTCTGTGTTGTGTTTTTCTCCTGTTACTGCATGCGTTGTACTGCTGGATCCGGAATGAAGACATTATGGCATGCAGTACAATAGTTTAACGTGCATAAAGACACCTGAAGATGGCACATTAGTGCTGAAACATGTAATGTGGAAGTGAAGAACAAAGTGAAAAAGTGTATACACTGTAAGACGGTCAGCACAAACCATGGACATGAATCAGTGTAACAGGACGCTAAAATATAACGAAGTACTGGTGATTTATATATGATAAAATTTGACTTGTTCTACACTCTCCTCTTAGTGGCATTTTGATCACTGATGAATTGCTTGGGAATTGCAGCTTGTCCAGAAATAGCCTGCTTGTGGAGTTCCCTTAATACTGTTTTGGTGCTGACAAGGTTTGTGAGCGTGACATTTAGTTCAGCAATCACTTTTGCAGATGTAGTCTTCTTATTTTTCGTCACAATCCTACGCAATGTTCATCTGTCTCGATCACTCAACACACATTTCCGTCCATGCTGGTGTTTATCGGATGCGGTTTTTCCAGTCCTCCTGTGTGCGGTCATAATCTTGGATACTGTGCCTCGCGAAACACCTAAAACCTCGGCTGCCTTGGTTAAGGAAGCACCCACCCTACAGGCCCCAACTATTTACCTGATTTCGAATTCTGTTAGCTCTGACATGATGCACAAAAAATTTCACAGAACACTGTCTCGACAACAGACGAAGCTTGCAACGTATTGCGGAGATTGTACAGGTAGTGGTGTTGTGCAGATACGGCAGCGTGACCTACAAACGTCGCTAAAATAAACACTTCAATTCAGGCATACGTGTCACGAGGTGTTTCCATATTTTTGTCCATCCCCTGTACATCAAATGTGGTCGAATTTTTGTTGGTCTGTCGCGGCGAAATATAACCCCAGCTCTAATAGTCTTATAACTCGAATAGAACTTCATTGAAATTCATAGCAAATTGTATATTTTTTCGTAACAAGAAATAAAATATGAAAGTTGTATGAAAGACATCCATCTTGTTTTGTTTAGTTTCGTGTATTTCTCTATATGGTTGCTACAGAACTTTTTTTAATGTATGTAATTCATATATGCATTTATAATAAGGCCGGTCACAGTAGTCGAGCGGTCTAAAGCTTGAACTGTCTTCGCTCGCTCGGACGCTGGGATCGTGGGTTCTAATCCAAATCAGGGCATGGATATTTGGTGTGTGTATGCGTTTATTCTGTGTTTGGGTTGTCCTGCGTTTGGCAGCGGCCTTGTGACGAGCTGATCACCCGTCCACGGAGACCTACCGTCTGTGTAAAATGATTACGGAACTGAATAAGAGGCCTGGACCCTGAATGGCCTGGAAAAGCCATTGAAGAATGTATAATAGGAGAGAATTTATGACAGTGTGTTCATTATTTATATTTATTATGTTTTCACGTGCTTGCATAGGTGGAAGCTGTGTATTCAAAACTGTGCAATTTGAAGGATTTTTAAAGGAGAAAGAAGTTCTGAAGGAGGGAAAAATGAAAGGACTTGGTGAAAAATTAAGATAAATAAGTATTGCCCGTTGAATTTCAAAGGGCTTTTCCATCACTAGCTTTATAACTATATAGTGCGGTATCTGTAATTTGATAAGGTCTATCACCATTACAGCTAAATTAGAAATAAACGCGCGTCAAATACTCATAAATTCAGACAAAAGGCTCCCTTTTGTTATTTTGGCTTGCTTGAAAATGCAGAAATATTAGGCTTCAATGCACGTGTAACAAATAATGTAGTATAACTTTATTACGGAACTATCATTCTTGGTGGCAAAATATACTGAAGAGAGAATAAATTTCCAGCAACAGAAATTTGGGTAAACTTGTTTACGCACGGATGTCAATAAGAAGTACTGGCCCCTTCTATTTGCATTTATCTTTGTGTAAACGGCCTAAAAGTGCCAAATGAAATGGCACTGACCGAGCCAACCAGTGGAATGTTACATTGCTGGCAAGGACGCTGTTGACATAGTATGCAAACAGTATTCTCTCACCAACCACTTATAATATGAAAAGGTCTTTGACTTCGGAAATCAATAAAATGTATGGTGTGTTGTGATCACCAGAGGATCCGACCACAGAGGACCTGAGGCAGTTCAAACAAGAAATCTACATGATGCAGTCAGTGGGTCGACACCCGAACATCGTGTCTCTCATTGGCTGCTGTTCGCGAGACGGCCAGTTGAGGCTTGTGGTCGAGTACTGCACCCAGGGAGACCTACTCACCTTCCTGCGCAAGGTTTATTTTTAAGCAACCTGAAGGTTCTACACTACATCCATAATACTCTTTAACCAGATCCATTTTAAGAAATTTCAATGCAATTCCTGTCTTCATGACCTGTGTCTTTAAAATGTAACGTACTACCCTCTAATTCTCTTGATATTTAGCCACTAAAATGTATGCATTTCTTGCTTGACCTCGTGTGCTATAAGCCTCATCTATTCCATGTTCAATGAGGCAGACATTTAGTAAAATGTACAAGTTATGAAGCTTCGTTACAGATTTTTGTTCTGTCTCTCCTGGTTCTAAATATTCTCCTTATAATTTCCTGCTTCTCCTCTTTAATGTCAGTGCATGTAAGTATTGCTATGGGTCTCAAATCTGTTACTCTTCAGTATTAATTTACCATATTCTACGTATGCAGATCAGTTGTCGGAAGATTAACAGGTATGTTCGAATGTACTCGCACAAATTTTGCAAATAAATATAACGTAATTTTGCTTTATTTTTAAAATAAAACTCCTTCCTGTTATCATACAAATTATTATGCTGACACATCTTCTACTACTTCAGCCCATCTAGTGACGATTCGATTGCTTTTTAATTATTTAGTGTAAATAGAGCAGTCTCTCAAAATTGTGTCTGATTAGGCGACCGTTTCTTACTCAGATGAAAGGATGCTAGGTAATGCTATTTATAAATCGACTAGTAACTTATAAAAGTGCACAGTTTGGAGCTGTGTGAAGAAGAATTGTATCTGAGAGCATTTAAACGGGAAATGTAGTACTAATTATCTCGTGTTGTATTATTTGTCACTATTTTTTAGTTTTCTAAGTATACTGCCTGCTTAAGTTCGCCATATTCTAAAACAGCACACATGATCAATATATAAAAATAGATAAAACGGTAAAATTACCCCTCTAACAGGCCGTGGAGGCCCATAATATTTCGAGATATCGAGGCTCTCACATTTTCTAGACAATCGGCTCACAGATGGCCGTAAGGGTGTCAGCCTTAGGCGCCGGCTGCCCT